ATGCTGCGAGGGGCCGGCATCTGTGCCGGTCTCACGCCGCGAGGGTCCGGCGTCTCGGCGGTCTCACGCCACGAGTCCCGGCGTTTCGGTCGGTCTCACGTCGTGCGCTCGCTCGAGACTGACTCGTCTCTCCTTGGTTTTTATCGCAGCAAACCACGTCGACAGCATGGAAGTGGACGAGTTGATAGAGATTCCATCCAACAAGGCGCGAGTGCTGCGCGGACACGAGAGCGAGGTGTTCATCTGTGCGTGGAACCCGACCAGGGACCTGCTCGCGTCGGGGTGAGTGCTGCCACGGCTCTCCATCCCTCCCTCCTTCTCCTAACACTAACACTTACACTTACATTAATCGTAACCTGAACCCGACCAGGGACCTGCTCACGTCAGGGTAACTGCTGCTGCCTTTCCTCCTTCCCTCTCCTCCCTTCTAACGCTTACACTTACACTAACCCTAACCCTAACCCAACCAGGGACCTACTCGCGTCAGGGTGAGTGCCGATCTTCTCTCTCTCCTTCCCTCTTGCCACCTTCCCCTCCCTCCCTCTCCTCTCCTCCCTTCCCTCCCCCTAACGCTAACCTGAACCTGAGCAGCTGTGTAATCCTATAGTAAAGGCCACGAGAAAATAGCCGTAAAAACCTGTCCTGCTGTAAAGGTCATATAGCTATAGCTATAGCCATAGCCATAGCTATAGCCCAAGTTAATAGCAGTTTAATATATATATATATATTCTGTGTAATGCCCGTTTCGGTCTCCTAGGCAATTATTTTTTGTAAAGGTCACCGGCACCGGACACCTCGCCGCGTACGCTCTCCTCGTTCGCTCGTGACGTGCAAAGCCAGTTCGGAGATTTTTTTAAATTTTGGTCATGCTGCGTGTGAGTCCCGAGCGCGAGACTGACAGGCCAGCTCTCTTGTAACCTTTCCAATCTCGCCATTCGATATGTTTTGCATCTAGCCTAATGCCGAGTGTTCGGTTGTTAGAGCGGTGAAAAATATGGGGGCAGAAAAGTTGCACTGTTGTCGTGGCAACGACGGCAAGCCGTGCATGCGACGTGTAATGTTCCGGTAATGCGCTGCCGGCCATGCCGCCGTTTGTGACCGCCCGATTCGTGGAACTGCCCATCCCATAATTTCCATTGACGTGCGACTACGTATCCCACTGCGCGCGTGCTGCCATCTAGCGAGTAGGATAAAAAAAATTCTCAACTTCTGGTTCGGCATCCTGCTGCCCTCTGCTGGCAGAAAAATTAACGAACTCGGTGAAACGAACTCGTTATTCGCGACTCATCTTTGCGGCGTGCATTGTATTTCAGGTCGGGCGACTCGACGGCGCGGATATGGAATCTGTGCGACAATAACAGTAACAGTCCAAACCAGCTGGTGTTGCAGCACTGTATACAGCGGGGCGGCACCGAGGTGCCTAGCAACAAAGACGTGACGTCGCTCGATTGGAATGTGAGCTGATGAGAATTTTCCTCAGGGTGACGGTCCCTGGTCGCGAAAATTCTTGTATTCATTATTTCGTTATTTTCGTGTTTTTTAAGAGAGCGTGTAGTAGAGATGATGCTGCTGTCAGGAATATTTTCACTCTAATATTATTATATTGATTATTATATATATATATCTAAATATGTAAAGATAAAATATCTAGTATCTATATCTAATTTCTATATATATCTATATCTAATCTAAATCTAAATATATATATATATGTGTCTCAGGGGTAGAAATTAACTTTTGAACAAGGTAGTCCAACTCTCTAGGCTCTACTCTCAAAAAGAGGGAGTCTGCAGTCTGATGTTCAAAATTAAAGATATTAACAATATCTTTGAGAGTTGCACGTCTACCAAATTTCCTTTGGACATTAGCTGAAAAAATACAGTAATTCCGCGAGGCCGTGCTCCGGAACGAACTAGTTAGTATGGCAGAATTTTCAGGGAGTCGCACGGACTCCTGCATTTTCCAAATCAGGGCGTCCGACAGTAAATCAGGGAGTATTTGACTCTGGACTCTCGTTAATTTCACACCCTGGTGTCTATACCGTATATGATTGCGTAATAACCGCGGGCGCCTATAAGCCGCACCTCAATTTGAATCGGGTAACCAAGTATTGCGCCTAGTATATTTCCCCTCACGGTATGGCGCACTTATAAACCGCAGAGCAAATACAGGGTTAAAATCTGAGGCCAAATTTGCGGTTATTACGCGAGTATATACGGTATATATTTATTATCTATATATCTATTATTATTATTATTGTATTTTTACTCTGATTTTGGGAAGCTGAGTGATCGATAACCGCTAACCGTGCGTTTTCTCGCTGCAGTGTGACGGCACGTATCTGGCGACGGGGTCGTACGATGGCTTCGCGAGGATATGGACGACAGACGGTAACTACAGCATTTATTACCTCGTATTACCTCTCTGTCGGAAACAAAATTAAGCCTCGCCGTCGGTCTTGACGCTATCTTTTTCTCGTGGTCTGGAGCTGTGTACGCGGCGTGTGGGAAACTCGTTCAATGTCTATAAGCGATCTATCAACTAGCATCAAAGTGGCCGTGGTAATGGTGAGAGTAATTAAATTTAGCTTTGTCGTGTTTCTGTCGACGGTCTGCGAGAAATGGTTACCGTTAAGACTAGTTTAGTTTCTGACGACGCCCCCCCCCCCGTACTTCTACCACGTATACATACATTAGTGTGGCAGGTGTCCCTGTTCAGTATCACCTATCGTACTCGTAATACGTCATTACCGTACTCGTTAATCGACCTCAGAAAATCGCTCGTTAGCGGGCGTGAAACAGCGACGTTAAAAATTCCCATTCAAAATTGAGCGAAGTGGATAATGTGATCTGGTTGGGATTCTTTACTGCCGGCCTTCTCCCTGTTTGGCCAGGCTCTACTCTGGGTCGGGAAAGTTGCGCGAGTGTCTTAGGCTGGGTAAAGGTACGGGCGGCATGTAAAGCTGTCGTAGTGGGCGCGTACGCGATTGCTGTCTCCACCGCTCTTAAATGCCTCCCACCGCTACTGCTACTGCTGCTGCTTCTGCTGCTACTGCTACTACTACTGCTTCTGCTGCTTCTGCTGCTACTGCTACTACTACTGCTGCTTCTGCTGCTGCTGCTACTGCTGCTGCTGCTGCTGCTGCTGCTGCTGCTGCTGCTGCTGCTGCTGCTTCTGCTGCTGCTGCTGCTGCTGCTACTGCTACTACTACTACTGCTGCTGCTGCTGCTGCTGCTGCTGCTGCTACTGCTGCTAACTCTCACTGTCTTCGTTTGTGGCGTGTTCCAGGTCGACTCTTCAGTACGTTAGGTCAACACAAAGGTCCTATATTTGCGTTAAAATGGAATAGAGAAGGAAATCATATTCTTAGTGCCGGTGTAGATAAGGTGAGTGCAGATGTTAACTACGTAGCAGTCCGTTTACGTTGTACGTACCTTGTTTGGTATGGCGTGGGTTTGTAAAAGCCTCTCATTTACCCACGATCTGTTCATTTGTGATCTAAATCGCTGATCTTAAACTAGCCTCGTGTGTGTGGTAGCAGTGTCTCTCGATTGTACCTTGAACGGTTTTTTTGTGTGTGCACAGACAACAATTATCTGGGATGCCAGCTCAGGGAAGTGCACACAACAGTTTGCCTTTCACAACGGTAAGCCCCGTCTTTCACTATTTCATTTACAATTTACATTCTTCGCAATTTAAATTCTTTACAATTTACATGATTGCGTTTCACGTATGAATTTAATGGTGTACCATTATAAAACCTGTAATTCAAAATCCGTTAGTCGTCGACTCTTTGCCGCTATCATCTAATGGAGTTGAATAGCTCAACGCCTGCTAATACTGTACGTATCGATGTAACGAACGCTCTTGTGTTTCAGCGCCCGCGCTCGACGTGGACTGGCAGAGTAACGACAGTTTTGCATCGTGTTCGACGGACGAACGCATACACGTCTGTAAACTAGGTGTTGACAAACCCATTAAAACATTCCAGGGCCACACAGTGAGTAATGGCTGGAGTCACGGACATAGGGACGATGATTATTATCCCACGAGCTTTTTCGTGGATGTTTATATATAGTACACAATCTATTTTTTGAATATATATAATTATAATTCTGAAAACCAAAATGCTCCGAAAGTTTTTTCGTGGAGGTCGTTTGCACACTTCGTCACTGTCACGAATATTAATGTGTTTGGCATTACTCATACATATTGTACTATACCGGTACATCACTTGGCCTCTTGAAAACTTGGGTTTTAGTACTGAATAGTTGCAGAATATACGGTATGTATATCTGTACTGTACTACCATTCCGAAATCTGAAAAATTCCGAATTCCTAAACGTGTCTGGTCCCAACGGATTCGGATAATAGATTGTGTACTGTATTTCTTTATATAGTAGAGTACCTAGTTAGACACGACGTAGCTGTGGCGTTTTAAAGTGTCGTGCGTTCGACGATCGACGTATGCCTTTGCGGTTTCTCTCGACGTTAATCGAACGCAAATTACCGTCAATTCGCGATTCGTCGTTACGTAAATCACCGTTGATTCTCCTCGCGAATGACATGAAATTGTGAAGTGAATCGTGAGTGCTGCTGGTGGTGGAGTGTGGATCGACGATCTACGTGTCGTTTCTGCGATGAGTTGTGAGCGCGAGTTGTGGAGTGATGTATCTACGCAGAGCAGCGTACGTGACGTGTGTCTGAGTCTTGTCTTCTACTGTCTTGCAGAATGAGGTGAATGCCATCAAGTGGGATCCCCAGGGAGTGTTGTTAGCGTCCTGTTCAGATGACATGACGCTGAAGGTGAGTGCACGCCGACTTTCTCGCATCTCGCACGCACCACGCGCACGCACGCACGCACCACGCGCACGCATGCACGCACGCGCAGACACACACACCTCGCACAGACATGCACTCACGCGCCACACACACACTCATTCACTCACGCACGCGCATGCACGCGCACATACACCTGCGTGCACGCACATGCACACGCACATACACCAGTGTGCACGCGCACACACGCACTCACATCGTGCTTGAAGATCGCGGGTGCACGTTTGCTGTTCATTTACTGTGTTATAGCCTACAACAGCACAAATTTGTGGTTGATTGTTGTGTCGGAGTAATCAGTAAAAAGACGGCTAATAGGTGAGACCCCAATTTATCTACACTTGCGCAGTTTTTCGATTTATTCGTGAGATAGTCGTTTTAAAGCCGCACTATGCGCATCCAAACGCTAATTTTTCCAGTACTAGACTAGCAAATACTTTGATTTTGCCATAATGTAGTATGATTATGCATGACACAAAGTATTTGCTAGTCTAGTACTGGAAAAATTAGCGTTTGGATGCGCATAGTGCGGCTTTAAAAC